CACACCACAATAAGAGTTTATGTCGAATATTGAACAACATCATTGTTCTATTAGTTACTCAATATAAATGATCTCAAATTTTTGAACATCTATACTCCACAGTCCAACAATATTAAGGGCCAAAAATTTATTAAACTTTGTAGGTTTCTATGGAATGAGACTTCAAAATTTTAGTCCATACTCTTGATCTTCATTTTAATTTAAAGTCCAAAAATACAACTTAACTATCAACCCCACACTCAACCAAGGAATTCCCAATTATCACTAGCTTTAGATGATCTAAATGTTGTGAACTACAAACACCAAAAAATACAATCACATAAGAACCAAACTAATTCATGCTCTGCCCCAAAGATAACACCTTCCATGTACTTTAGAGAGTTATTGTCCTATAAGGCTCACACGTATTTTAATCCCTCCTACCTTTTCATGTCATTACTAATTTTTTTACTCCATCTGTCTTTTCCTTCAAAGACTTACTATGTCATCCTCAATCAATCTTTAAGCAAAGTCATCTAATATAACTCATCAATTATTGTACCATGATCCTCCAATTATATTCTTTATGAATAATTCTTATAACCCAATTGTACAAAAATTAAGTCATCACTTAAAATTTAATTCTACCCAAAGTAATACTAGCTAACTAGCCATATTGCTTCTAAACTACTATCAATAATCAAATACATGGTCATAAAACAACCTCTAATCCACTCAAAATAAAAATCACAATTTTTACTCATATTTCAAAATTGACACCAATTCTTATTTATTTTTATCATACCCCTCCAATTGATTGTGAGCATTGTACTATTTTATAGTCTCTTAGTCTCCTTCATAGAAGATATATCCATCTCAAAGTTTTACTATCAAACCAAAATTTTTAATCTTTTTTCAATTCTTAACCTCTCTATCAATTCCAATAACTTCACCTAACAAAAATTATATAAAGAAAGTCATAGTTGACCTTATCTCCAAGCAACAAAACTGAATTACCATACATGTTTGACTTCACAAAGTAAAGCAACTAAGGGTCAAGTAAAATAATGAAAATTGACATAACCTAAAAAATCGGCATACCTTGAAGTTTTTTACTTTCATACATTTTCAAACAAAACACACTAATATTCTCTATGACATCCAAAATTCATGATGCAAAAATAATTTCTTTGTCATCACACATGTCTTCTAACTATCTCCAATAGTGGCACACTCATTTCCCTGCAGCTCCCATATAAGACCTAATTCCTAAGCTCCGATACTAATTTGTCATGCCTCAAATTTCACAAAAGCGTGATTGAAAAAAATTATTTTGTTTATTTCAAAAACACATGCCGATTTGTTATAAAAACATATAAAAAAGTATCTCTTTAGTTAAATAAATTATTTTTTTGGAAAATTTTGGCAGAATTTTCTTTGAAAATGGGGCATCTAGATAATTGGTGAGAGTAACATGTGAGAGTATTAAACTTAATAATTATACTCAACTAGTTATTTACATCATATAAATCCCTTCTCATGATATCCACAAATAAGTCATTATCGTTTAATACTAAGGTGGCAAATGGAGGCCCATGAAATCCTCCCAAACTCGAGTTATAATCTAATTATCCAAAATTCTTCGTCATGAGCATAATATACAGTATATCTAAAATCTTTATAAGTAAACCATTTAAAAGGTCTCAATCTATACATATTCCCTCAAATTAACCAAGATATAAATCACTTACAAATCTTCAATAATATACATCATCGTACATTATTCTTTATATACTCTAACTAAATATATAAAAATTGTAACAATTATCTTTTGCCTCAATACTCCCACTATGCAGGCCACCAACATATGCCTATAACTGAAAATGTTAAATGATAGGGGTGAACAACCATATGCTCAATAGGATAATCATTTTTTTCAAGTATTTACAAAATTTTAAATACCAACATTTCACAAATCATACGAATAAGTAATGAAAACTTTCTATAATCTAGTATAGGAACAAGATAATAAGTAAAACATTTATAAAAATCTCTCAACACATCGTCATTAGAAATATACAATGTATAAATTAAAGGTTTACACATTTTAAGTCAAACCATCATATCAAATATCATGCATGTCTCGCATGCGGACAATATAAACAATCACACCGATTCACACCTGAACCATCCCCGGGGAACCTTTTGGGTCTTACACTCTAGGGTCTCATCACTCTTCTTGCTTTTCAAGAGGAACGTGTAGGGCATAATTTGTAACGTCACATAGGCCATCACCGAAAATCACTACCATAACTAATCCCCCTTAGGACTAGTAACCACCTTGACAACCCACTCAACAGGGCCCAACCGTCTACTAACCCTTTGTCTGTCAGTATCGAGCATACATTTATAAAAAATTATTATTTTCTATATCCATAAATCCTTTTAAAAACACATGTCATAACCTTGACATTTTATCAAACATATAGTAGGCTCAAATCTCAAAATTTGCATTTTCAAATCAACATAACTATTTCTCAGAGAATAAGTCATATATATTATATACACAATCATAACATACTTTAAAACCCCCAAATCATAAGTTTAATCAAATACTCATGACTAACATCAAACTAGGGTTTCAAACCCACAACACAAAAATCATTTTCATTTCTAAGAGAATAAGTCATATATATTATGTACAAGATCATAACATACTTCAAAATCCTCAAATCATAGGTTTAATCAAATACTTATAACTAAAATCAAACTAGGGTTTCAAACCCATAACCCTAAAATTATTTTTATGCACGTGGATTCACAATTCATGGTATACTCAACACTAAATCAAGGTTTATAACAAGTATTTGACCATCAAACACATAGTAAGATTTAGTTAAAGAAATTACATGAGGTGCACAATGTAAATGCAAGAGAGAGGAAAATTTCACCTAAGAATCAAGAATTCCAAGCTTAATCTCCAAGATTCTCAAGCCAAGTCTAAGCCATAGAGCCCTTATTTTATCTTCATTTCTCTTTCTCTCTCTAGTTCTAAGGTGGGTGGAGGAGTTTTGGGAGAGAGATATAAGAAAAATAAGAGAAATGGAGGTGAAAATGAGATTATAAAGGCTGAAATTCGTGCCGGGTGTTATTCATAGGACAAAAAAAATGTATTTTCTCTAAAATAATGGTTTTGCCCCAAAACTTCTCCTATTTGATCCGTATGACTATTTTAAGGTTTTTCGACGTTTCAGATCCATTTTTAATGTTATTTTAGGCTAAAAATATTTATTTTTATGATTTCTATAAAGATCCAAGCCAAATTATATCCAAAATGTCAAATTTACAATTTTTACCTTTTTAAATCGTAATACCGACTAAATGTCTAACTCAACTTTGTTCTCTACTCTCGGATTCAATAGCAATGTTATTTCGACCTACAAACTTTTAGAATGATTATTTAACTACTCTTTTAAAGCTTACATGCCTCCAACTCTATATTTGACCCAAAAGTCATTACGCGCAAGTTTAAACCTTGTGATTATTTTACGAATTACGCTTTGAAATTTTCAAGACCATTTTTTATTATGTTATAAAAATTATTAATGTATTGTGTGTGTGTATATATATATATTCCATCCCAAACACACTCTTCGTGGTTCAACAATCAACAATCCATAACATTTAACACAATCACAAATAACGAGATAATTGTACAAAAAATTTATAATGGGCATCAAGCAATTTAAAAGTGAAACAAAAAAAGGTGAAAATGTTACAAAAAATAAAGTGGATCATATTGTAGTAAATATTTATATTTCAAGACAAAAAACGATAATTTTTTTAAAAAATAAAATTATTAGTATATTATTTTAGTATTTATATTAAATTATTAAGGGCTCTATTTAACATGTTTGCTTAGGCCCCAATTTTCATTGGCCGCCTTGGAGTTTACATCTCATTTCTTGTTCATTAATTGAATCAGACTTGCGCTTGTAGGCTAGTATACATACCTTTGAGTTTAGTGGCTGACTTAATGGCTATTCACTTTGCTCTTAGACTTTAAGATTGCGAGTTCAGATCTCATTGTCCTCCCTATAATAGTGTCTGAACATATAAAAAAAGAACAATGTTATTATGACCTAATTTATTGACATAATTTGCTAATTTAATTCATTGGGTCTTTTAGATTCACTGTAAACCCCATCAAACATTAGAATTTGGTATTGATCTTATGATTTCTAAGAAGTCACATCATTATGTCAATAAATTAAGTTAAATTTTTAGGTCTAAACAGTATTACGTATAAAAAAAAAGGACATTTCTTGTTTTTTCTTTTAAAAAGTAACATCAAAAACCAAGCTGCTGAATGAATATGCAACCCTGAAGCGTTTGCAAACGAAAAAAAGAGGCAAAAAAAAGGGCTGGCATTGATCTAAACTTCAATTATTTAATGTTCTAGTTCAATGTTTTATTTTATAAGTTTCTGGACTATTTGGGTAAAACGAGTGGAATCAATTCTTGAAGTACTAGTTTGACTACAAATTATATATAGTATCTTAAAACTAGTGAGATTGATATGTATTGCTCCATAGGTGTTGTCAAATATATGACAAGTTTTTGTTAAAGTTGATGTAACACAATTAATTGAGTATCGAAGCAACATTTTAAATGAGAAAGAAAAATCTGAGATTCAAAATTCATTGTTTCTATGACATTAAGGTCGCGAGTTGAAATTTCCTTATTCTTGTATTTGACCAAAATAAAAAATCTATCTCATTCGATTACCTAATCGAGTCTAGGGGTGCAATTTAGACGAATTTAACTTGGACAGTTCTCGAATTAAATATCTTGAGTTAAAGTCGGGTTCAAATTAAAAATTATATATATAAGGTTGACCTAGCGTTAATTATTCGGTCCATCCAACCCGTTCAGAGTTGCACCCTAATTGGGTCAGCTCGGACCATATAAAACCACAGAAAAAAAACAAGCGAAAAGGAGAATCAGAAAAAGTGTGGACGATGTCAGTTTTACCCTCATCTATTTGGCTTCCTGCTGTCTCTTCTCATTCCGAGTCGACTCGTCGTCGTTGTCGGACTCACCTGAATGATATCAGCTCGTGTTCATTGACTAGGCAGCAGCGACTCGGCGTCGACGCCATTGTTAAGTTCGGAGTTTTCCGAAAACAAACAACCTATCAGTGCTGCTTAGCTATGCCAGTTGAAGAGGGACCCACTTCATCATCGTCTCAGGTTTCTCTCTCTACTCTCACTCCGTTTGGTTGCCGATAAAACCGATCAAACTGAGGAAGAAAAAAGGAAAGATAATATAACAACTGCCAAAGCATTATACCTTATGAAAAGTTATCACGTGATCAAGTTATAATATCAAACTTTGAGGGTCTAACTTATATCTCACAGAATTAATCATAAAATTTATAACCGATCATGAAAAATATAATTTTTAAAGGTAAAGGGACGATTGATTATTTATGATCAATCACAGTATAGTTATAAATCTTGTGAGTGATGATGAATAATCATATCTTCTTTTGAGTACTTGACAAGTGGTATTTTTCTGTTGTTTTCTTCTGATTCTAATCTACTAAATTGTGTTCTTGAATTTAAGTTTTCTTATTTTCATTTGAGATTGAATCTGATTTTCAAGACTACTAAGGAATGGAATTTTAAAAAAATCTTAAAGTTAGGCATTTTAATATAGAATTTACATGAGTCCACTTGCATGAGGAAATTACTAGCGTCTCAGATGTGACTTGCTTAACGATATGGCTAATTATCTCCATTCATTTGTTTGTTTCTGCTTTCTGTCTCTGTACCACTGGTTTATCCCACAACAGTGTGCTCGTCAAAGACAGGGCACTCTTAAATGTCAACTGATTATCAGTTGCAGGATAGCTTGCTGTACTCCAGAGCATATTGGGTCACCAAATCAATAGTTGCTTGGAATGTGGAAGCTGCAGATGGTTCTTGTTATCTGTACGCCAGCAAGACTGCTGCGTTATATGTTGCAAATAATGGAATCGAAGGTTTGCACTTTGCACTTCAGTAATATTGCATTGTAGTAGTTTTGTTGATTCAATTTCAAGTAGAAAGTTTTATGCTTTGTTGGAGGAATCTCTTGTAGATATAGTTGTTGATATTTCCATGCAAACAGGCCACGATTTGAAAATTAAGCTCGAAGAAGATAGTGCTGGGCTTCCAGAAAATGTAAGACATTTTGTTTTCAGTTCTTCTTATGGATATTAAATTCATTTGTCAATTTATTACCAAGTGTTTTGTCCCTTTGTGGACTAGTATGACCACATTCTAATAGTTTACATTTAATTTCTTAGGTTTAGAAACTATTGCTTGGTTTTCAATTGCAGGTGAAGGAAAAGTTTCCTCATATTCGAGATTATAGAGCTTATAAGGTCCCTCTGGCTTTGGATGTCAAAAGTCTGCTCAAGTGCCAATTGGCTGTTGCTATCTTCAGTTGTAAGCATTTCATATATGTGTTCCATTCTTTGTCATTTGAGATAAGAGCTTTTCGAAGCCACGAGAAAGTAGGTGGCCTACATATTCCTCTGGATGAAGCTCTAACACACACCAATAATGCCTTTCGCATGTTGTATTGCTTTAGTACCTTGTTGATGAGAACCAAATTCGTCGTATTTCTTGCTTTTATTTTCCCCTATCATTTTGTTTGATGGGCTGCACATAATGCACTTGGTATCATAAATAGTGGCTTAAAGTAATTTATGCAAATGCATACATTAGCATGGTACTTATCTGGATTTGTATGGTGCATGCCATGTTTTCTGATTCTGAGCCATTTACATTATGTTTCCTTCTGTGTAGCTGATAGGAATTGCATAAATGCTACCGGTATGCAGTTACCTGGTGTTGTTGATGAATTATTCTCGTATAATGGACCCCTTGGCGCGGTTTTCTCAAACGGAGTTGTTTCACTTTACCTTTGGGCCCCTACTGCTCAAGTATATATTATTCTGTTTTCGTCACGTAGTTCTTGTATTACTATTTTCCTAGCATCGCTATTCCTTTACAGTTCCCATTGCTTCGTTCATGCATATTATCTATCTTTTACGTGTATCAACAGGTAGTACGTGCCTACATTTACAGGGATCCTTCAGGAAGTGATCCTCTAGAAATTCTTGAGCTTGAGGAGCTAAATGGGGTTTGGAATGCTAATGGACCCAGAAATTGGGAGGGCTGTTACTATGTTTATGAAGTCACTGTTTACCATCCTAGCACCTTGCAGATCCAAAAATGTGTTGCAAATGATCCATATTCTAGAGGGTATGCTGGTTGTCTTTCTAGCCAATAATTGTCTGAAACTACTTAAAGTAGTGTTACTTCCCAACTTTGTATATCATTGCTATTTACCAGCATGCGTCTATTCTTTCCGATGGACAAATGCCTGACTATGTTCATTTTGTTCCCTTGTTCGAGTAGGCTCTCAGCTAATGGAATGCGGACTTTGTTAGTGAATCTGGATTCTGATGCTTTAAAACCTGAAGGATGGGATAACTTGGCAGATGAGAAACCTGAGCTTTTTTCTTTCTCTGACATTAGTATATATGAGTTGCATATAAGAGACTTCAGGTATAGAGCAATATCTTCTTGTTCTTTCAGTATCTAGCCCTTAGAGAAACTTTACAAAATTTGGAGTTCAGCACATTTTTGGATCTTCTCAGGATTTTGAAGTGTAGATATTGGAGAGTTCTAGGATAAAGAGTAGAATCCTGACTCATGATTTTATATTTTATATATCTAGAAATTGCAAGAAAGATCCTACCTACTTTAGAGTTCTCTCTTTTCCTCCTGTAAGAAGCATCCATATGGGGTTGAACCCCTTTGAAACAATTTTTCACTTTCTATTTTCTGAACATGTTTGGGAAGACTTAAGTTTATCGTTATAGTTTGCAGGTAGTTTTTAATAAGTATTTTCTAATTGATATGACAGTGCTAGTGACTCTACTGTGCATCCTGACTTTCGTGGTGGTTATCTTGCCTTTACTTCCCAGGTAGATGTTTTTTCATCCAGGCTAAAAACAAATTACCTCAAGGCCAACATTCCTAAATTTCTGCATATCATGGGGTGGGTTTTCATTTTCTGAGAAACTATTACTACATCTTCTTTGATCTATACCTCTGGTAGCCTGTAAACAACATTCTGAAGTCTGTAGTACATTGAAAGTCACTATTAAGAGCTCTGTTGCAAATGGTGCAAAATATCAAGTGAACTATTGCCTCTTGATATGCAACCACCTGTAATCAAGGGCAGCTATCAAGTCTAGTTGGTGACTTTCTGTTGAGAATCTGAATCTGTTGTTTGTTGACCATGAGTGGAGCTCAAACTTTTTCATTGACAATTTTGGTTTTGGGAAAAATGGAAGTGAAAGACAATTGTGCTTGGCATGCATTTTAAGGCAGAACAATAGTTTAACCTTAAACTACCAATATTAGTGCAAAGCGCACCGGGACTATAGAAGAAGTGCGTGAACTGATAATATTTGCTTGGTTTGAGCTACACCCCTGATATGAACCCTCCTATAAGGTAGTGTGATGCCTGATAGTACTGGGCATCCGGTCAGTGCATGCAGCTGATCCAAGAAGGTGTGGTTTTTTATTTGTCAGAAAAAAGGATCCAAATAACCAGTGATTAATATGCATAGCTCCCTAGTTGCTTCAGTCCGACCAGCTTGGTTGAAAGTGAAGGGCAGTGGAATGGAAGTTCCGTTCCTGCTCATTCATCTTATTGCCAGTGCCTTGGCCTTCCTTCTTCTAATGGAAAGGAGCGGCAGATAATGGGGAAACTTGTGTTCGCATTTCGAGTTTCGAGCTGTTACACCATAACCTAATGAAGAAAGAAAGAGGAAGAAGAGGTTGAGATCTTTGTCAGTTAGGGATGGGAACTCCTTTGAAAGTAGAGTTCATTGGTTTGGGTTTCGTCCATCTGGCAAATGATCTCGCATTCGAGTGAGTGAATAAGAACCTTTCTGACACGGATCAATAACCCCATCATGTTGGACTGAACCTTGACCTTACCTTTGGGATGAGTCCTAGTTTTGAACTTGTAGGCGAATCTTCCAACTTGGGGACTAGACCATTTGCCATTGGTGGCATGGAAAGGCGCTCCACACGAAAAAGAAAAGAAAGTGGGTAAGACGCCAAGCAAAGGTCTAGACATAGATTAAAGTGCTGGGTTAATTTGATGAAGTTTCTTTTAGAGTATTGCTGGTAATGAAACTATATTGTCTGGTCTTGATTTTTCAATTATTGTGGCCTTTTTTCCTTGGGCCATTGGAGGGGCTGATGTCACACTACCATGCAAAACTGCCAACCAATGGTAGAAAAGGTGGTTTTTACCCTTTGTTTTAACATCCAACTCAAAATTAATTGGCAATGAGTGGAGAGACTCTTTAAGCATATAAATCAATATTAGGTGGTTCTTTCTAATCATTCGATATAGGATACAAGTTCTTTTTGCACCCTCCTTCACGTGGGACCCGGGCTTGGAGCTAACAAACAAGTATACGAATATGAATACCAAAAAATTTGGGCCCAACTCGGATAACATGTTAAAACATCTAACTCAACCAAAGTGGGGGGGGGGGGGGGGGCACCTTAAGCATATAGACCAATCTTAGGTGGTCCTAATCATCCGATGTGGGATACAAACTCTCTTTACAATTTGAAAATTCAGAAATATGAATATTTTTTAATCGTGAAATACACTTGCATTATATCATGGTAAACCATTTTACTGCTGATAACCAAGTGGATATCCTTTTCCTGTGCGATCTTTCTCTTCCCAGTTCTAGAGAGTATAAGTAGCTCATACTATCATTTCTGTTTGGTACAAGAAGAACTTTTTTGTTTACCAAAAAAGAGAAATAAGGGAAAAGAACACATGTAGAAGATTTCTGAGGGCAAAAATTCATAACAAGTAGGCACCGCCCTGGTGGAGAAGGACTTTACAGCAAGCATGCATTGCTGAGGCCCATAAACATATGCATTTTAAGAGGGTACACATTAAAATGAATCAAAACGTATATATGTTGAAGTTGCTTCTTTCTTTTTCTAGGACTCAGCTGGTATACTTCATCTAAAGAGATTATCTAGTGCTGGTATAAGTCATTTGCATCTGCTGCCAACCTTCCAATTTGCTGGTGTTGACGATGAAAAAGATAAATGGAAGAGTGTGGGTAAGAATTGTTCTATTGTGTTTTCTTTTTCTTAATTTTCTAGTTCATTTACTTGGTAATATGCTGGTAGGGTATTCTTTGTTCGATGTTCCACATGTATGCTTTAAAAAATTGCAATGTTGTTAGTTTTGAATAATTTAGCTTCCTTATGGACAAGGGTTGATCAGGTAAATTTTTGGGCAGAAGTACTGTGTCTCAAGTAATTTGAACTATTGGTAATTGCATTGTTTTCTTTTGATTTTAAGGATACACATGATTTACATTTAGCATCAAAGAAGAACTATTGGGAATTGTTGGTAATTGTCTTGATTTTTTGTAAGCTTAATTATGCATGGACCACTATATATTTAGCAGCAGTAAAAAAACAATATTTGGGGCCAGCGTTGTATGTTTACTTTATGGAAATTGGGTCAATTGTTTTTTTATGAATTGACAAAAAATAAAAATGGAATCAAGCTAGCTCAGAGTCATCTAATTTTGAAATTGTTTAGAAATGTCAACCCCAAAATCAAAGTTTGTTTATTTGCTATAAAAGTACCTATTTTGACATGAAAAGAATATGACAATTAGAGCAAACCGCCTTATATATTGGTTTTGGCAATGTTGGAAAATCTTGGGTGCCTGGTGCTTCTGAATTTCAATCATTGTGAACCTTGAAATTTAATCATGTGACATGCTTTCAGTTTATTGTACTGACTTGAATAATTGGTAAATATTTCATCACATTGAAATGAATTTGAAGGGTTAGAACATATTTGAAACTTATAGTGATACCAATACAAGTTGTACTGGCTCAAGAGTGTCCAACTTTGGGACTTGCTATAGGCACTTTTACACACGTGTGTTAAGAGTTTGTACCATTTCAATAAATAGCACCTTGCAAACTAGTATATGAGCCTTGTGAGCCTCTCCAATTATTGCCCATTGATTTTGAGTTAGTACATTGATGTGGTACTAGAGTTAGGTTTGGGGAGGAGTAATTTGTTCCTCTTTCTTCAAGCCACAAATGCACTTGTTATGTTTTTGAATATGTCTTCTGATTCTAAGTGTCATAGCTTATCCCACATTGATAAAATAACACCTCCCAAACTCGTTCATAAATGAGTTTTATGGGCCTCTTCACTTGTTGCCAGTTTTGAGTTGGATAATTTAGCACAATATGAAATTTATTGTTTCAATTTGGATTTCTGAAGAGTTTGTAAGCATATGCCCAAATATAAAGATTGTAAACTTCACTTCATATGGACTAGCCCCGAAAATCTGAACTTCCATACTTGCAAACATGTATTGCTAAGTTCAACATATTCTATCCGACCTCTATGTTCTGCCTTATTTCATAAAGCATCGTCTTTCTATTTTCCTTTTTACGAATGTCCTTTGTTTCTTCTAATTTTTTTACATGAGATTAACCTTTTGGTCTAGTATCACATTGGATTGTCTTCTGTGTCTTGGTCTAATTCCTTTAAGTGACATGCAATCTTTAACAGACACCCAGATGCTTGAAAGTTTACCATCAGATTCGATTGAGCAACAAGCTCATATCACATCCATCCAAAATGAAGATGGGTATAACTGGGGGTATGATGCTGCATTCTTAAATGTCACTTGTTTCGAATTTGCCATGTTATGGTTCTGTAATGCTACCCTTTTTCATGATGAAAAATCGTCTTGGTTGATTGTTCCTGATAAAGATATAATCCTGTTCTCTGGGGGGTTCCTAAAGGAAGCTATGCAAGTAATCCAAATGGTCCATGCCGTACAATCGAGTTTCGAAAGATGGTGCAGGTAGATCTTGTCTTTGCATTTTAGGACTATGAATACTATGCTTTATGTATTCTGTGGTTCTTATGAAGGATGTATATAGTTGTAGATAGTACAATTGTTATGAACTTACATTGGCTCATTAGAACGGTATATCTTAATTGCAGTCACTTAATCGTATTGGCCTTCGTGTTGTGTTGGACGTTGTCTATAATCATTTGCATGGAAGCGGCCCGTTGGATGAGAACTCTGTTCTTGATAAGGTTAAGAGTTAATTCTTTGCTTCCATCTCCAGACTTGCTTTTCAAACAATAGATGATCTCTGCTTGTTTATATGGTTCTTTGTGTGTGTAAACTATCACACCTTATCTGTTTCTCTATTCTTTCTAAAAGGTTTTTGGACATTGATTTTGTGACACAAAGTTCTGTGCAGATTGTTCCTGGTTACTATCTTAGAAGGAACACTGATGGCTGTATTGAGCATAGCACCTGTGTAAATAATACTGCCAGCGAACATTTTATGGTGGAACGTCTGATTCTTGATGATCTTTTATGCTGGGCAGTTCACTATAAGGTGATCATAGACGCTGCATGTACTTTTGTGTAGTTTGAACACTATGAGGAAACCCCTCTGTTATGCTGCAACACTCTTCAAATTCTCATCCTCTGTTTTTCTCCAAAAAAATTGAAGCTGCTACTGAAAACTCACTAAAACGTGGAGCCCCCACCTGTATATTGTCATGAAAATACACATGAATGTACAACTCTATGGCTGACTTGAGTTTCAACTTGTTGTACGAAGTGTTGAACTGCTTGTAGCTAAGTTTAATCTAAGTGCTAGTAGAATCTTGTAGTCCGTTTATTCTTCATTTCATTTCTACCTTTTCATGTCTTTGCATGTGGTTTTGACTTTTGAAGTATTATAATGACATGAATAGTCTTCATTTTTCAGTGTCAGAGGTTTTTCGAGGACACTGAATTGGTCCTTTCTTGAGTTGAGCTACGTTGGCATAATGCGCTAAGTTGGCATAATGCTAATGTTCATAATATTAATTATTGTTGTTATATGTGTCAACCTGGATTATTTCTGAACTTACATTGGTGATCATTTTGACTGAAACGGCATATTGACAGATTAATGGAGATGGTATATACTTGAAACGTAATAGACTGCAAGGCCTATAGGGTTGTCGTTGTTAGAGCATCCAACTCAACACCAATTGTCAATGAATGAAAAGGACATTTACGCATATAAACCAACATTGGATGGTCCTAATAATTAGATGTGGGATATAAACTCTCTTTACACCCTCCCTCAAGTGAGATTCGGCCTTGCACGTGGATCTAAAAAACAAATAGATAAATATGCATGCCAGGAAATTCAAATAGGTAACCACCCAAGGCCAGCTTTGATACCTGCATCCAACTCAAACCCAATTATGAATGAGTGGAATGGCCCCATAAGCGTACAAACGTATCAGTCAATGCGGCATAAAGCTCCTTTTACAGTAGTTATGACAACGAATTGCACATTTCTTGGTTTTAGGGAAGATGAAATCAGGTTCCTGCTGTCTTTGAAAGCACTTAAGTATATATTTCCTCCCTCACTCTGCCAACATTAAATTTTTATATTTTAGGGTTGAACATAGAGGATAGAGCAGTAGTGGAGGGAATAATGGGTTATAATTTTTAAAACATTGGATTTGCACTTTTTGTTTAGATTTTGGCAGTTAAATGACTGCCAACATATGATAACATGTTCAGAGTTTGGCAGTTAAATGGCTGTCACACTTTGAAGGGTTCATTACGGATTCTAAAAGACCTTATGGGCTCAAACTTTTAAAATGGCCTAACTTGATCCATAAAAAAAAAAAAGACTAAAGTTTCACCAAGATACAAAGAGGGGGTCTCAGACTGCAAAAGAAAGCTTAAATACAGAATGAAAAGCAGAGTAGCAACTTAACAAAATAAAGCTTTACAGAATGACTAATTTGCAGCTAATAAACTTCTGAACTCCTAGGATGACTACACTAATCCTATGCAAGAATTTGGATTAAAAGAACGGTGTTGAAGCATGCTAACCTGGAGCGAAACAATCCTAATATGCTAAAGATTACTTATGCATGTAACAGTCTTGAGCTGGTCCCATAGGCTTGGAAATATCTGTGATACAGTTTTGTAGGAGTATGTTTAGTACGTTGATGAGTTCTTGTAGCATTTCAAAAAGGAGTGAAAAGGATTTTATCTGCTGGGTTTTTCAGAGTAGGATTGGTCTTGTGTTGGGTTTTTGGAGTTGGCACAGAGGGTTAGGGAGAGGTTGTCCAGTTCCCATAAATTCCAAATGTGTCTAGGTGAAACTTGGGTGAAGATCCTCCCATGCTCAACAGAGAGCTTATCTCTCTCTCTCTCTCTCAGCCAATTGGTGCTTTATTTGTGCTTCTAGCAAAGTGCTCCACTGTTTTTTCAAGGAAATATGTATCTACTGTTAAAATAATTTCATTAATGTAATCAATAATGGGTTTACTTCATTGTGGGGAATTCTTCGACGTATTCAGTATTGAGTATATTTCTGCCTTGCAGGTTGATGGGTTCAGGTTTGACCTCATGGGACATATAATGAAACATACCATGGTATGGACTCTGAATCTTCTTGTGGGATTCTCTCTAAATGGATTTTTCTCCTCCATTATCAAGGCCAATGTTACCTAGATCATGAGTTGATCTAGTATGTGATATGGGTACGGTTATGCAGTGCAATATTCTCTCCAATACACTTTGTGAGAGGTAGATTTAGTTGGTATGCTGCTTTGAGTCATGATCAATTTTGGAATTGTTCAAATCACTTCCACTATTTTATGAAATTAGACATGACGATATACGTCTAAACACTTACTCAATTTAAATTTATTTCATATTTGTGATAAGAGTTCCAAATTGAACCGTAGTCCAAAACCAATCGGGTAATGGTTGTGAATAATAAAATTTAGGGAAAATTTCATCCACATCCCTTGTAGTTAGGTCTAAATTCAATGTGACTTCCTTCTGATTCTTAAATTTCAGTGACACACCTTGTCAATTGTTGTCTGCATATAACGTTAACAACGAGGATTGTTTTGCAGCAATATTCTTAGTATTTTATAGGGTAAATTTCATCCACGTCCTTGAAAATAGGCTTAAATTCAACGACACCAGTCCTGATTCTAAAATTTCAGTACCCTTCCTTTTAGTTCTATTATATTAACTTTTTGGTTCATCATTTTAATATTTAATTTTTTCAAATTAATGTCTTTTCTTTAATTTAAACAAAATAAACTTTCGATCTCATCAAATCATCATAAAATTGATATTTAATTTAGTCAAATTAATATTATTTTTTTAATTTAACACTAAATTATTATTTAATTTCATCAAATCAACACTAATTGATATTCAATTTTATCAAATTAAAATTTAATTATATTAAATTTCATTAATTTAACATTTCATCTCATCAAATTAATGCCATTTCTTTAATTTAATACCAAATTAACATTTAATTTCATCAAAACAACATTCAAATTTATTCAATTAACACTAAATTAATATTTAATTTTAGCAAATTAGCCCCAAATTAATATTTAAATTTATAAAATTAAGACCAAATTTATTCAATTAACATTAAATTTATTAAATAATATTTAAATATTATAGGTGAAGAGTGGTCGAGTGGCTTTGTGGAGGACAGACAATAGTAAATGAGTTGAAAATGGGTGGGACTTTGACATTAACTTTATTGATTGTAATTTTTATTGTAGAGAAAGCTTTTTTAACTACAAAAATTATAAAAACTCGATTAAGTAATCCAATGAGTGATAATATGATATATAATATTTATATATATATATTATCGGTGGTATTTATAACAAAGTTATCATTACAACGCTTTAAAATGATAACAATTCATTGAGATCAATTGAAAATGACTATAATTAATCTTAGTTTTTGGTAAAATGTTAAAATTATTATTTTTTATTATTATTTTTTTTTGACCTTATTATGTTGAATGATTTTATTTTGTGTAAAAAGTAATTTCATTAGATATAAATATATCATTTATCAAAAAAATAAAAAAATAAACTTTATAAAATACCGATCCAAGGCATTTAGTCTGTTAACAAAACAAAGTAATTTAAGCATTTTCAAAGAATAGGTAGTCAAATCGTACACTTTATATACTATCAGAGACGAAAGTTCTTGTTAGGGGGTGTTATTAATTCAACAGTATAAACTAGAAAGGGGTGCAGTGAAGTTTCAAAATTGGGAGGGGGTGTCATTGAATTTAGACTTAACCATAGGGAGTGTGGGTGAAACTTTTCCTAATATTTAATGGCTACACAACTGTGTTACAAGAAAATTTTAATTCACAACAAAATCAAAAGATAAGTTTAAAGATCACCAAAATCAATGAATATAGTACTAATTAGGGTTGCAATTTGGTGTGACTTGGATTATGGACCAATTTGAGGTTAAAGTCACAATTTAGAGTCGGGAATTTGGGAAATCTTAGTTACAAATACATCCTATATGCGATCTGGGCATGAGACTGAGGTCAGTATCCCATGCAGAAATTCAAATGCTGGTATCCTATCTAGTTAGTTTTTCATTTATATCAAGGTAAAGATGCATGGATGTATTTTCAGACATATCGAATTTGAATCTCATTTCTGATAAAAAAAAAATAAAGAAATTGCATTTCCTTAATTAAAATTATCTAATATCAGGCCCTGACAAGGATTAGAATTTCGTTTCAAAGTGGTGGGCACAATCGAAATGTTTCTGTTTCTAAGGAGACTGAAATGAATCAATAATGAAATCAAAATTCTAAAACTTTGAGGTATTTTGTAATGTTTCAACATGTTTACACAATTATTTCGAAATGTTTCAAAGTGTTTCAAGATTCTTTGGTATATTTTAGTTAATGTTTTGGAAAATAATTCTCAAATATTTTATTCGTTTTCATTCAATTTTTGAATCTGGCTGAAATGTGTTGAAACGTTTTTTTTTCTAGGTCACCCATGAGATCCAGTTTCTATTATGCCATCCTGCATTTTCAATTCCAATGTAGAAGTTCATATTTGTTTTGTGCAGAGAAGAACATAGTACTTCAGCTTTCTCTTGGATGTGTTGGAATAAAACTAACTTAAAATTTTATTGTTTTTCAATAGTTGTGAGCTTGAGCATAATATCTTTTGGGAGATATGGAGTTGGAGTCATAGTTGGGACATGATTTTAATACTAGTTATCAAGAGGAAGACAATGTCTCTTAAGAGTAGGGATTTGTAGTGAGAAGTAGTTGGAAAGAAAATAAGGTTGCATGGGATATTCTTAGTCAATTAATTTGCTTAGACATAATTACGAACCTAAGTCAATGCAACTAAAATATAGCTTCTATTCTGTGCCCAGATGAAGGCTAAGAGTGTGCTCCATGGCCTTTCGAAGGACAAAAGTGGAGTAGATGGTTCAAGCATTTACATGTAAGGGTGGAGTAATTATTAGGTAGTTGGTTCTGCTTCAACTGGTAGCACTTTGCTGATTATATCCTTGTTGTGCTATAGTCTGGTGTTTTAATTACATTTATTGGAATCATTTCTAGTTCCTTTAACATACCGATTGTATTAATTTGGATGCTAATGCTCTTGTTTTCAGATATGGTGAAGGATGGGACTTTGGTGAAGTAGCAAAAAATGGACGTGGGGTAAATGCATCTCAGTTCAACCTTTATGGAACTGGAATCGGGAGGTTTTTCTTTATTCATTTTCTAATATGTGGCTAATCATCTTCTCCTTTTTTTTTTCCCCTACGTTCAGAAGTTAGTTTTCTTGCGACTTATTCAGCAGAAGATCTATGACTGAATTAAGTTGCCATGGCTAACATTTTTGCAAATGAAGTATCTATGCTACTAAGATTAACTTGCCCATGGCTAACATTTGGCAGATGAAAGGATGTCAGAAAAATGATAGAATACAAATGATTGTAGAAACTGTTTTGTGCATTTGAATCTAGTACTTGAGAATGGCCTATTTTTGCCATTGGAAATGCATTATATATATATCTTATTTTTGGTGGTGATCATATTGTCGCAAAGGCATAGTTTGTATCTTAGTTTTATGTAGAGAAATGATAATTTTAGTCTATCCAAAAATGTTGGAGAGATAAAAAAGATTCAGGGTCGTTTATTTGCTTGGCCAGTTGTGATGGTCTAATTCATTGACCCTAGTCCCAAGGATCAAAATGTCGTGTCGACACGTCCGAAACGTCCGAAACGTTTCGGAATTTCAACACTCCGAAACGAAACAGTAATTGAATCACAAAATTCCAGTGTTTCGGTCGAAACGGTACTGTTTCGGACCGTTTCGGTCGAAACGGCATTGTTTCGAACCGTTTTGACAAAACAGTGATATATTCGGTTCATTATGAATAATTACATTTAATACCCATTATAATTACATTTAATACCCACTGTAATTACATTTAATACTCACTATAATTATATTTAATATCCCACTATAATTACATTTAATTCCCACTGCTCTTCTGTCTTTTATAATTTTTTTGTTATAAGAATAAATAATTATACTTAATACCCTACTATAATTATATTTAATACCCATTATAATTATATTTAATACATACTGTAATTATATTTAATACTTCACTGCTGTGCAAGTTTTTTGCTTTTTTTTTTTGTTATAAGTATTAACAATTACATTTAATACCCTAATGTAATTGTATTTAATACCTACTGTAATTACATTTAATACCCACTGCAATTACATTTAATTTTTAAGTATACATAAGTATCATTAATTTAATTTGATACCCTTAATTATTAGTATTATAATAAAATAGTATTATTAATTGGATTATGTTACCGTAATAATATGATTTGGAGTAACTATTATCATCATATTTATGTCACATATGGAGTTTCTCTAAGTAGCTACCCAGAGCCTACACCGATGTATGAGCCTGCTCGACACTCCACAGGGGAATGGATGTAACCATGTAAGTATGTACTCATTAGCATTTCATGTGTATTATAAGACCTTAATATTATGTAAAAATGTGTTTATTTCATAAAAATTAAGTGTTTGAAACTAATTTAAGTGACTTTCGCCTCAAGTCAAGCCTTTTTTTCCCTCAAATTTAAATTTATTCTTGTATAAATTGATGTTAACCTAATAAATATGTTGAATTAATAAATTATTTAGCATATCTTTATAAATTAATGGATTGCATTTGTGTTTCTATGCGTTTCCATATTTTTTCTGCGTTTCCATTGCGTTTTCGAAATGTTTCCGAAACGTTTCTATTTTTGAGTTGACCGAAACGGTACTTCGAAACGAAATTTTGATCCTTGCCTAGTCCCTAATAATGGGGCTTGGGAGGGATAGACTGGGTCAATCTAAAAAAATGAAAGAATAAAAAGGTAAGTATAGTCATCTTCTTGTGAATGAAGGATTGTGTAGACTGGATTTATAAAGGCTTTTTGCTTTTTCTACTTTTTATTCTTCTTATCCCTTGTGACTGAATTATTTCTCATTATTAATCTAATTGCAAAGCCTTCCTGTGTCCTGCAATAATTAAATCAGTCATTTTAGAAAAAGAGAAAAAAAAATTTCTTGCTTGAATGAGCAGAATTCCTTGATAGGATACATATAAATAACAGTACTTCATGAGGCACAAGTTAACTGATTTTTGAAAAATTATTCAGCTTCAATGATCGGATTCGTGACACATTGCTTGGAGGGTCTCCATTTGGTCATCCTCTTCAACAAGGATTTGTGACAGGTCTGTCTTTGCAGGTAATCAGTTCTTTTATGGCATTATAAGAACATTTATATGGGTGTTGTCCTATAACAAACATCTTTAAAGAAAACGGCCAAATTATATGATATTTATGTCAAGCCATTAAAATAGTGCTGATAATTTAATCACATTTGCCTTCTCAGCCATCAACATAATATGGCCCAACTCTGCTGTGGTTCTGAAGTAAAAAGTGAAATGAACTAAGTATATTTTTTTTATAGTATTTATAGCCTCATGGGATTTACTTTTCTTTCATTTGATAGATGTACCGAGTTCTTTCTCATTTTTTATTTTATTTTGTGTGATATTTCCTGCATCTTAAAAAGAGTGATTACAGGGTTCAAGTCCCACTTGAGACATGGTTGTTTCCAAGAATTAAAATTTTGTTTCAGTGCATTGTTGCGGTTACCTAAGAAGTGAAACTTTTCATAAATGTTTCAGACACATTTTGGAGACAAAATGGAAATGGAGAAAAAAATTAAAAATTTATTTCCGAAATGTTAGGAAAACATTGGTCAAAACATACCGAAATATTCCATAGCATGTCGAAATACGTCGAAACATAGGAATTTCTATATTTAAGAATTAATTCGTTTCAGTTTCTATGGAAATGGTAATGTTTTGGCCATTTCAAAATGTAAAATTTGTTCCTAGGTTGCTTCTTCATCAAGTAAGTAAAGCATAAAGTTTTGGTTTTATCTTATAATTCAAATAGATAACTTTAAAACACATACCAATGACACTTCCGTCCTTTTCCTCTCATTTCTTAAAGTTAATGGCTAGTCGAGGAATCTATATTCTCCAAGAGGATGGGTCCTCATAAAACAAAGTGGACATCTTCATACTCTGAGGGACAATCTTAAATAGAATAATAAAGAAAAACTCTTTGCTCTCTCTGAACTTGTTTTATGGTGATGTGTTTACTTAAATCTGCTTGGTAAAATTACTTTTGTTTCTTCTGCAGCCTAATGGTCATGACCATGGTACTAAAGCTGATGCAGAGCATACGCTTGCTGTATTGAAGGATCACATTCAGGTCCATAGTTTTGATGCCTTCCCATTTCTGGTAATGTCGAATATTGTGTTTAAGGTTACATACTAGCCTGGAGGGGCGGCTTTTTGAAGTTTGCAATAGTTGATGCGTTTTTCATAATTATGGGACAGTTGTGATAGTTGGTATCCACTATTCATCATACTTTAAGGGGAAGATATCATATGAATGGGTGATTTTGTATAGCACTCCAGTTGGGAGCAGTGGTAGATGAAATTGACTTGAGGTTTTGTTGAGAACCCATTTTGTTTTATTTTCTTGTAATAAAGTGGTGTTGTACCTTGCCATTATCAGAAGACCAAAACAAAAAAACTAGCCCTTCTCACTTCTTCCACTGAATTTGGCAGGAGTTGCTAACACATGACATTTGTGGTATAGTATGTGCCACGTCAAATAGGCTCTAGAATATGAGCAAACAATAACCTCCTTGTAGTTTTTTTTTTTTTTTTGAATGCCTTAATTAAACCTTGAGCTACCTAAAAAGCAGTTTAAAGTTCCATATTAATTCGTGTGCATGTTGAGGTTGGGGAAAGATGTTGCCATGATCTGCTAATTTGACAATTTTGTTTTGCACTATCAACCATTTTTCCTTGTGGATCGTGAGGAATTTAAATATTTGACACCATATATAATGAATGCCTATAAGTTAGTGAGGTTACATAGCAGCCTTGGTAACATTAAGTTCACTTCTCAAGTACCAACACAATATATGTGGGAATCAATTAGGAAACTAGCACAATACACGTGGGAATCAATTAGGAAACTATGGGCCAGTTCAGAAAGGAGAAGGAGAAGAAAGGAAAGAAGCTAGAAGCAGTGAAATATGTTATCTGGATGATACTGGATTGGTATCACATATCAGCTAAATGATAACTTGTGTCGGATTTGTGTTTTCCTGAATGTGCTGCTTACTTGCTGTGTGTTTGTTGTTACCTATGACTTGATTAATTACCATATCATTGCTAGGAACAGTGCTTAAGTCACTGAATTCTGTAATCATATCTGCCATATCTCTGTTTTGCATAAAAGACGAGAGATATGCCTTTTATGTGTGCATTTCATAGATTTGTACTTGTACATGCATTGTAGCCTGGGGTCATGGCCCATATTTGTTCCCTTTAATCTTCTGGGTAGAGAGATGCTAATGGGGATCATATAAGAATTGGATAGATATTATAGATTAATTATGATAGTTATTTAGATACTTTTAGTATTTATTTTTTAAGTAATTTTTTTTAACATTTGAGGGTTTATTTGTCATTTTTTATTTGTTTTAGGGTTTTAGTTTCCCTATATAAAGGGATGCATGTAAGGATTAGATTAGACTTTGATTATTGATATTACTTCTTCCTCAAATTCTCTCTCTGTTCTCATCTGCATCTTTTTCTTTTCTCATCCCCTTTTTTTTTTTTTTCTCTTCTCATACCTAATTCTTTCCCTTCTAAGTCTACATTAGAGCTAATACGATCTACATCAATTTGGTATCAGAGCCCAACTTCGATTCGTACAAAATAAAAAATTACTGTTTATCGTGCATTGTTTATCAGCGACACTGTTCATTGCCACCAACAACTCACTGTCCAATTAAAAAAAAAAAATTTTTTTTTGAAGCAGTATTGCAGCGAAGAAGACGATCAAATTAGGTAGGGTTTTGTTTGGGAATAACAGCTTCAACGAGACGTGGGAAAGAAGACCTACTACCAGAAATTCTAAAATTGCCGAAATATCATCTAGAAGTTCCATAATTGCAGAAACATTTCAGCAGATCCAAAAAAATTTCAGAATCATCCCCAGCAAATTTTAGAATTTCATCACAACAAAGCTTGATTATGGTATGCATACTCCCATAGAAATTTGAGACTAATATTTTTATTCATTGAAAAATTAGAGAGTTTGTAAAAGGTCCAAAATACATATTCTTCTATTTAAACTTTTTTGAAATTGTCAATTGTGTTCTTGGATTTGTTCTTATATCATTCTTATCTTTCAAGAGTCACTCATGAGTTCTTCTAATGCATATGTTTTAAGAGTCTCTCGTTGAGGTCATCATCGTCGCAAGTTTAGGTATGTCTACAAAGATTTAGCACTTATGACCAAGTCAATTAAAGATCCTTCTACATTTTGTAAGAGAAGTATTTGCCTATTTTTTACATAAATCAATTTTATGACCAATGACTCAATCTTAGACAACATTCTTCTAGTGTCTCGGATTACTTTGTCGAGTTCAATTATCTCATGTACTTGTGTGACAATGTTGAAAAATTTTGGACAATTGATCAGTTTACTCTTGGATTGAGACAAAAAATTCGTACGGAGGTCAAGCTATACACTTTTAATACGATAGTTGCAGCTAATCAATATGCTCTAAAGGTTGAGATATTTCATAAGAAATCCAACTATAGCTTAATGAGTTCTCAATCACAGTTTGCTAAACAGCGTGAAAGGCCTTCCTGTTTTAATTCCACCACATATGAGTATCATGATTATTTGAACAATATCCATGTTGTTTTTGCATGCTTTTCTAATCCGAATGTGGCAAAAGATTTAGATATGCTAAGTATCGGATCAAGAGAAAAATGTTACTCATATTGACTTTCAACTCCCTCATTTAGTTTCATCAGATCAAAGTCCTCCTCCTCCTTTGCACCCACAAGAGTTCATGTCAAAAGAAAGTGCGTGTGAGTTTTTGCTTGTGTCAATCTTGAACCATCATTAATCTTAAAAATTGTGAAAAAGTTTATTGAATTTATACCTATGCAAGATATTAAGCCAATTGAGTCATTTATTACAGCATCTACTAGTGACTATTCGGTGTCTACTTGTACAAGTCATCATGACTTTGTTACGGATTCTTCCTAATCTAAGATTGTTGACTTTGTTCCTCTGCCTATTGCCAAGTATTCACTTGAGTTTGTACTTAATTATTTTTAGCACCAAGGCGTTATTGTTACTTCTTTATCATTGAAGTCTTGTCCCACTGAATGCTTGTTGTTCAAGTTTGATGGAAATTGTTTTTCTATTCTTGAATTTGGATCTAATGCTTATTTACTTAATTTTTCATTGAATGTTATTATTTGTTCAGATTTTTATTTAGAGGACATGCTACTTAATTGAGGTATTCTAGAACATTCTATTTTGTTATCCAGTGTTTGTATAGGTGGAATTGCTTCTTCCTTAGCATTAGTTCCAGTTCTTATCTTTTCACTCCCATCGCATATTTTGAGCCAAATAGATGATGTACTACGTGATCAGATTTACATTGCTACAGATGGAGATTCTTGCATTTATTCTGATCGATGGAAAGATGTTGATGGTTCTTTCATTCTAGATGAGGCATTCTGTCGTCTTCATACTGCTCTCTTAGGATACTTTTGCTTTGAAGACTCTCAGGAAGAGAGTTTTTTTCAACTAGAGGAGAATTATGGGGATCGTGTAGGAATTAGATAGATATTATAGATTAATTATGATAGTTATTTAGATACTTTTAGTATTTATTTTTTAAGTAATTTCATTTAACTTTTGAAAGTTTATTTGTTATTATTTATTTGTTTTAGGATTTTAGGTTAGACTTTGATTATTGATATTAAATCCTGATATTACTTCTTCCTCAAATTCTCTCTCTATTCTCATCCTATTCTTCTTCTCTTCTCATCATTTTCTTCTTCTCTTCTCTTCTCTTCTCTAATTCTTTCCTAATCTACATCAGAGCTAATACGATTTACATCAGATGCCCCCTGATATTTATTTATTTTTGGTGATCAAGTGCTTGACAAAACAATAGAGAGAGAGAGAGAGAGAGAGAGAGATTTTACATGGGCAACTTTCTCATCAGGAAAGAGTTGAGTATTTAGAAAGGTATAGATGTAATGGTTTCCATCTATGTTTGGTCCACATTATTATTTTGCCAGAGTCATTTTGGATCATTTGGCTTTCTTATTCCCAATCCTTCCTGGATTACGTTTCTGCTGTCATATCTACTTCCTGAAACTGTATTTTCATGTAATTCAGATCGGAATGGCTGCAAACCTAAGGGACTTTGTGCTGACCAATTATGATGGGCAAGAGGTAAAGTTCATCCTGTTTGACAGGTCAAATGATGCTCTTTGGTATTTAAAAACTGCAGTTTCTCCTAACATTTCTGCAGCATGATGCAACTCTATTTATCCCATGTACATTGACTTTTGTGATCAGTTTTGGCCAAATATGTTATCCATTAATATGAATTGATGTGTCAAAAAGAAGTAAAAACTATTGTATCTTTTGTTTGTGGCCATATGGCTAACTAAAAATAACAACTTTTACAATTTATGTGTATATGTGTGTATTTCGGTAAACTACTTGACATTTTTAAAGACTTCTATTGGCTACTATTCGAGCAACCATTATTCCTCTTTGAGTTTTCCGTCAAATACTTCTGTAAAAAAAATATAAGTAAGACCGCAAGCAACTAAACTCAACTCAACAAAGCTTTAATCCCAATAATTTAGGGTCTGCTACATAAAAAGTACAGTGTAATGTTATCAAGAATAAAAGTTGAAATGTATGGAAGAAGAGACATTTGATCATTAGAGTGGTGATCTCCCACCCAAATTACTTTGAGGATGATTCGCCTCCTGAAAAGGTGAATTCTATTTTACTCTCTTGGAAAAGATTGATTGTAGTACTGTGTATTGACTCCTAATAACCCAAATTTCCTAGAATGATAGAACACTAGCTTCTGTAACAAACTACTTCATCTTGAAGGAACAGAAAACTGCTCCTAAACTTACTGTAAAACTAGGAGTGACATCTGTTTATACGTAATTCAGAAAGGACTAAAATTTCGTTTCGAAAATGTCAAAACACGTTCGTTTACATAGAAACCGAAACGAAACAGTGATTGAGTATCGAAATTGTCATAGTTTTGAGGTGTTTTGAGATATTTTGATATATTTCGATCAATTTTTTAGAATATTTTAGAAAAAAAATTCATATTTTTTTCTGTTTCCAAAAATGTTTACATAAGCAATTCACCAAAACAAAATTTTGTTACTTCGTATTTTGGGACTTCTTATTCTTACACCATCAATACTTTTTACTAGACTTACTTTTTCTTGAGCCATTGTAGGATTATTTACTCCCCCTGTCCAGCCCATCATGCACGCCATACTGCATGTTAACTGGAGATAAAAAGTGCTCGACACAAAAATTACTTCGAATTCTAGTTATGTTATACATTGAGATTTGGTTGCGTTGGTTGTAGTTCTTTGATCTCCGATCGAATTTTTCTTATTATGAGCTCATGGGCTCTGTAATCCAGCCATATGTTCCAGGAAATATAATCCCACTGAAGTTGATTACGTGGTGTAAGACCAAGACAACGCATACCAAATTAAAATGGATCCTTAGTCCCTACCTTTTATAACTACACTTGAAATAAATGTGAATGAAAAAGGCATACAAACT